AAAGAAATATAATTGAGGATGGATTTTTCTAGTAGTTGTTTACCTTTGTTCATGATATTTGATTAACATTCTGGCTTAGAAAATGTAATCAGGTAACCATTTTTGAAATTCACTCATTCGACAAACATTTATCGAGTATCCAGGGACTTGGTCTTCTTAGTCGTGAACTGGGAACAACAGATCTACCTCACTGGATTACTATAAAGTTTTAATGACATAATACGCATACGAAAATACTGGGCGCATGGCACATGCTTACTAACTAGCTTTCATGGACGTTTAAAAAATAGTGACAAAAGCCCATAAATTCTACCATCTGGAGAGTCGCCGTTCACATTTGGTTGGATCATCTAGTCTTACTCGCTCTCACCGATGGGGCGCTCACTACCCGACAGCACAGCTTACTTCATCATTGCCGGCTTCGAGCCTGAGAACACTGTTCTTTAGATTGGGTGACTCTGTCTCTCCCAGATTGGAGACCGATGTGTCTGGGCCTGGGCTGGCCACATCTTCCTGTTTCTTCTCATGACTGTTTCCCCCACCTCCTAAGGATTTTGCAGGAGGGAGGAGGAGAGGAAAAAGAGGAGGAGAAAAGGAAGGACTGTTGAACATGGGCAGATAGACGGCCCGGGGCTGGGGTTTTCAAGCTTTTGGGACTCCTTTTTCATTTGCAATCTTGTGGGGCACCCAGTAGATATCCAACAGATACAAAGAGAGGTGCTTTGGTTTAAGGAAGGGGGAACAGAGCTACTCCGTCTAGCTCCTCTTTTGCTCCCTGGAATTCAGGAGGTTGGGAGAATCTCTGTGTGACCTTGGGCAAGCCACATAATTTCTCTGAACCTCAGGTTTTCATCTGTAAAATGGGGATATTACAGCCTCCTCCGTATTATCTGGACTGCTGAGGGATTATGTGAACTTATGGGGAAATGTATACTGTCAAACACCACATTAAAATAAGTCATCATTATAAATAATGCCTGTGTGACCATGGCCCATTTACCTAACCTCTCTGAGCCTTACTTTCTCCATCTATCAGGATGATAGTGGATGGGAGGCAGGAAGTTTTGCCCCAAATGGTCTGTAACAATTTTTCCAGCATCTACGTTCTTTGATTGCACCATGTCAGTCTTGCTTCCCTGCAAGAAGAGTCAGAAATATCACCTGTCAGAGTCAGAACAGTCGGCCTGAATGCTCACATTTTACAGATTAAGAAACTAAAAACCAAAGACAGACTCACCTCCACAGAGAGTGGCCGAGTTGGCAGGAGGAAAAGCCAAATACTGTGAAAGGCCTCTCGAAGCGTAGTTTTCAAAATATTAAATACACAGTTCTTGTAGAAACAGATAGTGAACACACATCAATTTTTTTTGTAGCTTATTAATGAAGGAAGCAGTAGGATGACAAAGCTGGTTCCGTGAAGAGGGAGAATATTTATATATACCTACATATGGAGAGAGAGAAGAGAGAGATTCAGTAAAAACAAAAACAACAATAGCAACAACCACAGAAAGAATTCTGGAATTTTCATAAGGTCGCTAAATTAGATACAAAACTGGTTAATGTCCTATAGGGCAATAAAATGATAACTGTTGGGGTTCTCCTCCCGATTGAAAAGAAATCATTTGCATCTCTACCAGACAAAAATAATTTGCAACTTATCAGTTTTCTACCAGCTAACAGCTATCTTTACAGAGCCTAGGCCCAATCAATAGTAAACAATAAGTCAAGCAAAGTGACATTCCCCTAGAGTGTCAGATGACCCTTAGGAGGGCTTGTCAGACACTGCTCTCATTTGACTTTGAAAGGACACCAGTTATCTATTTGCCTTATTTCCAAGTGTTAGATGATTTTACTTATCAGGCTTTTGCAAGACTCTAAACCCTTCCCAAGAAATAAAAGGCGTCAATAGTAATGAACATATCATTAATGTGAAAAGTGAATGGATCAGCAATGGCCTGTGAATGTCACTACAGGGACATCTTCAGTCAGAGGGGATGGGCGTATTCTTCCATTTGTCCAGAGTCAGAGTTGTGGAGGGGAGGCAGGGGATGGAAGGATGTGAGGAAACACCTTGTAATGCTTGTAAAGCCATCGTCTGTGAGGCCCTATCTCAGAGTGTAGTCAGGAATCTAAGGAATAACTTAAACAACAACAAACAACAACAACAACAACAAAACAAAATAAAACCTCTCCAAATTACTCAAATTCTTCATGGTCAAGTTACATCTCAAAAGCGAGTTCCACAATCAGCGTATTAGGCAAAAATTGTAGGTGGTCAATATTAGGAAAATAGCATGTTGGATACTGTATTACCATTTTGCAATCATTCTATGTTGTCACTTCTGGTTTTGATATTAAAACAGATTTCTCTTTCTTCAGCTGAGTATCAGTTGGCTAATGTAGATGCTCCCTTTTTTGACAAAATGAAAAAGGAATTGAATCTTTAAAGATCGGAGTCATACTCAGCGGTGAAATGTTTAGACCATGAAAAGCTCGTAGGATCTGAGGCAGACTTGGGGACAGCAGGTCCAGGCAGGTCTCCCTGTCCACGCTCACTCCAGAAATAGGCTCTTTGAGGGTCTGGAGTGACGGCAGCATTTCCTATCTTTTTTAAATTGGTATCTTTGGTATCTTTAGATCTTTCTCTCTCTGAGTCTTAGTAGGCAAAATGCGAATGTAATGAAACTTTGAAGTTCTTGTATTTATTTATTTAATTTTAAAATTGAGGTATAATTTACATACAGTAAAATGCACAAGCTTTAAGTGTACTACTCATTGGCTTTTTATGCGCATGAATACAGTCTTTGCCAACACCCAGATCAGAACATAGAACATTTCCTCACCCCAGCAAGTTGCCTCGTGGCCCTTGCATTAACCCTCATATTCCCAAAGTGACCAGTATGTTCTGACTTCTGTCACCCTTGGTTACTTTTGCCTGTTTTGAACTTCATGTGAAGAGGATCATTCAATATGTGTCCTTTGCGTCTGGCCTCTTCATTTTACATGCTTGTGAGATTCATCTGGGTTATTGCAGGTGTCAGTTGTTGTTAGTGCTGAGCAGTATTCCATTGTATGCCTCTATCATCCTTTGTTTAGCCCTTCCCACCCCCATCCCCCCAC